GGGAGAACCCTTAGGGGAGCAGCGGGGAGAACCCTTAGGGGAGCAGCGGGGAGAACCCTTAGGGGAGCAGGGGGGAGAACCCTTAGGGGAGCAGAGGGGAGAACCCTTAGGGGAGCAGCGGGGAGAACCCTTAGGGGAGCAGCTGGGAGAACCCTTAGGGGAGCAGCGGGGAGAACCCTTAGGGGAGCAGCGGGGGAGAACCCTTAGGGGAGCAGCGGGGAGAACCCTTAGGGGAGCAGCGGGGGAGCCATGTGCACTCAAAGGCAGGCTTCAGGGCCTGGCGCCCCTGGGTTCGAATCCCAGGCTGCAGTCGGTCACATTTTCTGTCGACGCTGCGGGCAGCAGGCCTTGGCCCTACATACTGGCCACGTGCAGCCTGGGGGCTCCTTGGAGAGGAGGGATCGCAGCCTGGACCCCCTGGAGGCACAGGCTGGATGACTTCTGCCCTGGGCCTGGCTGTCTACAGAGTGCTCCCTGGAAAGAACCCCATGTGGCATGGAGGCCCTGGTTCAGAGCGTCCAACTGGGACGACCAGATTGGAGACCCACTGGAGGCCCGGACACGGCTGGGCGCTGTGATGAGACATGGCTGTCTGTGCCAGGCCACCACGCCTGGGGATGCGTTACTCTAGGACAGAGAATGACATCCTGGCTATTTCCCCAGACCAGTGACCTCACAGGGCTGGTGTGAGGCAGAGGGGGCCACACTCTGCCTCCAGGATGCTCCTCCCTGGCTGTCCCCCCACTGTGCCCCATGGCCTTTCCTTGCCTGAAACAGACGCCTTTGCCTGCCTGGTCTCCCTGGACTCTCCCTCTCCTCTGCTCCTTGGCCAACGTGAAGGAGGCCATCATAAATGCTCGGCCTTAACGTGTCCCTGGGAGGATGAGCCCGTTTGCACAGTGGGGACTGTCCCGGGAGACCCCGAGACCCCGGCCTTCTGCCCTGCCTTGGGTCTTGGCCGTCCTGGCCTCAGGCTCTGCCTCCAGCCACATCCAAGCTGAACACAGAGCACAGGACTAACTGAAGGGTTGGGGAGCCCAGCAGGCCACAGAGAGGCCACAGAGCAGAAATGCAGCAGACCCTTCCCGGCCCTGCTGCCCCGCAGGCCAGGAGTCACCTGGCACAGTGATCAGACGGTACCTCATGGTGCACGCCACCAAACCCCTGGGACCTGGGCCACGGACGCACTCCCAAAGCTTGACCTGCCAGTCAAGCTCCAAGTGGCCAAGCTGAGAGGGACCAGGCCTGGTCACCAGCCAACCACGGGGCCCTGGTGACACTGCCCAGAAGCACAGAGGCCCAGGGGTCCTTCACAGACACACCACGGAGCATGTACTTGCACAGAGGTGTACGCACACTCCTGAGCCTGGAGGAGCACCCACGAGTGCCCTGCCACGCAGGCCATGAGCACACGGGCTGGGCACAGTGTTCACACGTGGCACAGGGGTGTGAACCGCCCCCTGCCAGCTGACCACTGTGGACACTAGCACTCGGAGCCCCCAAAGGAGCACCCAGGAAGGAGTGTGGGGAGTGGTGGCCCCTCCCTCCATCCCTCCCCCGGGAGTACCCTGTGGCTCCAGCTAGCCGCTGGGCCTTCCGCCTGCTGCAGCCCAGACTGACATCTGCACTGGGGACCCTGGGCCCCTTGACTCTCCATCACAGCAGCATGGCCCACACCAACCCCTGCCCCCAAAGCCTGGCTCCCAGCCTGTACGTGGACAGTGCCTCTGGCCTCCGTGTCCTAGGAGCTGCCCTCCCCATCTTGCATCCAGCCCTCTCCTTGGTAAGTGGCTCCTCTGTGTCCCACGTCATCCCACACAGCCCCTACTGGATGCCCAGGAGGGTCATCGGCCCCACACCCCTCGGAATCTGCCCTGGCCCTCTCTGATGAGGTCCTGGCCCTCAGCCTGGACTCCCGGCCCACCCGCCCCCCGGACTCCAGACAAGACACCCCAGACACTCCCCACCTGCCTGGGGCTGCTGCCCTTCCCTGCGTCCCCTGAGGACCCCCAGCCTCTGAGACGCGCCCCTCGTGGGTGGCACTCACTAGCGCAGTGGTTCCTGCTCAGCGGAAGCTTCCTAGCCAGGCCCCAGGAGTCGAGGGCCTCTGTCTTTCGTTCCAGCTGGCCCCCACTCACCACGAGAGGGGCTGCCGAGAGAGTTCAGTCCCTGTGGCCGGCGCGACCTGACCCAGGCCCGGGCGACCGGCTCTCCTGCTCCCGAGCGGCTCTGCAGGGCCACCTCCTTAGAAGAGAAACTCTGGCACCTCCCCAGTGCAGAGGGCTAATACCTCACACATGTCAGCCTGCTCCTCTGGGAGGCACGCAAGCCACGGAAGGCTGGTCCCGCCAGCCCAGAGTGTCTGGGGCCGTCAGGGATGCTCCTCGGTCCCAGGCCATACTCTGGGGCCTCTGTCTTGGGCAGGCCGGGGCCTGGGGGGCACTGAGTTGGGAGGTGGGGAAGGGGTCAGGCCTGGGGCTCTCCTGTGTCCTGCTGCTGAGACCAGACCCTCTCAGGTGGCCCGGGGATTCTGACCCACAGTTTCCCTCTGCGGATCCCTGCCTGCCTCCTCACCCCCTGGGGACACACCCTCTTACCTACCTGGGCACAGGCCCGCTCTGACCTGGCCCAAGGGTGGGAGCCCGTCCCTTTATCAGAAGTGGGGGAGGCTTGGTCTCCCCCATTCCCAGGGACAGGAGGCTCCACAGCAATCTTGGATTGGAATGTGCTCTGGCAGAGCCACAGGACTTTCGAAATCGAGGGAGGGTCTGCGGTTCAGGCTGAGCTGGAGGCTGGGCTTCGCTCCAGGGTCTCGACATTCTGAGGTTGGGGGCGGGGGGAATTGTGGGGGCTCCAGTGGGTGAGAGGCCGGGCCCAAAGCTCCTGCTGGGTCCGTCCCCAAGCAGCCTGGGGTGGGGCACCTCGGGAACACACAGGCCCACCCCTGGCCAGGCTGCCTGACTCCTGGAGGGCGGCTCCCTCCTGCAGCTGGAGCGGCAGCTCCCTGAACAGGATGCCATGAAGACTTCAGACCCCTCCTCAGAGGGGCCAGAGACTCAGGGCCTGGAGGGAGAAGGGCACGAGCTCACCCAGCCACCCTGGGCACTGGCCTGAGGGTAGGACCCCTGACTCAGACCTGCTGCTGGGGGGTGGGGCCAGCCCAGAGCCCCTGGCCCCCTGCTTGGTGGTGACTCGAGGTTCCCAAATCCACCCGGGAAACCTGTTCCTTGTAGGATTTTCAGGTGAGATCCCCCAGAACCCCCAGCCCCGACTTGGGGATGCCTCCCAGCAGGGTCAGGGGAGAGGGGCAGGGCCAGGCCTCGCACACCCAGAGCCCCGGAGCCTCTGCCGACACACAGCACCAGGTCTCCTGCACAGGCTGCCCGGTCCCTCCGCCCGCCGGGCCGCACACCCACAAAGCAGAGCTCAGCCAAGCGCTCGCCCGCCACCTGGAGACCTGGCTTGTCTTTGACGTGTTTTGTAAGTGGAGTCTGATGGGACCAAGGAGCATGCCGGACAGGGCAAGACCCCGCCAGTGTCCACAGAGCTAGGGAGCACCTCCTGCTGAGGAGTGCAGACAGGTGCCTCCCGGGCACAGCCTGCCCCTAACTCAGCCGAGGTCACGCGGCTCACTCACCTGAGCACGCTGGGCGAGGGCTGCCGGTGAGGTGGGCGACTTCCTCCCCAGAACATGCAGGGAGCCTGGGCCGGAGGAGGGCTGGGTGAGCCCCACCTGGCACCCCATCTTCCTGTGGGCTCCCGGTGCCCAGCACTGTGCCTCATGACTGGACCTTAGCAGCAGGGAATGTCCCCGATCCTGAGCACCCCTGGACCTTTGGTGATGACCACCCACCCTGGAGGTCCCTCTGGGCCTTGGACTCCTAGGCCTTGAGCAGCTCCGGCCATTTCCTGTGGTCCTGGCCCTCAGCTCCTCCACCCTCCTGGCTCTGGCCTGCCCGGGCCTTCTCGCAGTCTGATGGACAGGACTCTGCGTCTTGATGAGCACCACACTGGGTTTCCACAGCCTGGGTGCCCGTGGGCCTGGAGTGTGAGGGCTGTTGGCCACTTGAGAGACGCCCCCACCCCACACTGCGCACCTCAGCACCGGGCCTGCAGCAAGCCTCCCCAGCCTCCTCGCAGCACAGCACAGCCTTACGCCGGCTGTCTCTGGTCCTTTCCCCTTCAGCTCTGCCCGGCCTCTCCCCCCAAGCCATGTTCAGGCCCCACAGATGGTCCCAGGACTCTGCAGCTGGGGTTCAGCCTTCTCAGCCCCAACCTGGGGTTCAGCTTCCCCGTCTCATCCATCCTGCCTGCCTGGGGGCACTGAGCCCAGCCTCTTCTCTAGTGACTCCCCGATTCCCCTGAGTCCCCCAGACCTCCCGGAAGTCCCTCCTAGATCCGGCTGCCTGCTGAGCACCCGCAGGTGAAGGCTGCCAGCGTTTCACACTCAGCCTGTGGAGGCCGAGGACCTCGCTCTCCACTGTGGCCCCCACTCCTTCCAGAGCTCCAGCCCGGGGCCAGAGACCCCGACGCATCCCTGTCTCTCCTGGACAGGTGACCTTATGTGCCAGTGTTCCTGGGCCCCAGCGTGTCAGGTGGCTGGCCACGAGGGGCTCTGGGCAAGCCTGAGGTCAAACCTCCCGAGTGCAGCAGATATGGCCAACCTGGGTGGCTCATGCAGTCACGAAGGAGGCAGGAGAGGCTGGTTCCCTCCGCCTCCAGCCCCCTCAGCCTCCAGCCCCCTCAGCCTCCAGCCCCCTCTGCCTCCAGCCCCCTCTGCCTCCAGCCCCCTCAGCCTCCAGCCCCCTCAGCCTCCAGCCCCCTCTGCCTCCAGCCCCCTCTGCCTCCAGCCCCCTCAGCCTCCAGCCCCCTCAGCCTCCAGCCCCCTCTGCCTCCAGCCCCCTCTGCCTCCAGCCCCCTCAGCCTCCAGCCCCCTCCGCCTCCAACCCCCCCCGCCCCCAACCCCCTCAGCCTCCAGCCCCCTCAGCCTCCAGCCCCCTCCACCCTCCAGCCCCCTCGGCCTCCAGCCCCCTTGGCCTCCAGCTCTGCCCTCCAGCCCCCCTGGTCTCCTGCCTGGGCTCAGCTGGAGCAGAGCCAGCAGGCCTCCCGGCCTCCAGTTTGCTACTAGGTCTCTGTGAGCACGTGACGCGTTCCTGGGGATGGCTGTCTCTGCGTGCCAGCGGGTGGTTTCTCTGGAGAGCCCGGCCCACATGTGTCCCCCAGCTGTCTGCTCTCGGCTCCTGGCAGGCCGCCCTGCGCTCTGGCACACTTCCCCTGCTCCCGGGGCAGACAGCTCGCCCTTGGCTTGGGTGTGGCCCAACAAGCAGGGACAAGTCCATGACCTCTGGGTCTGACGCATCCCAGTGGTCCCCAGCACCACCCATCCGTCCCACCCTGGTGGTGGGCGAGCCCACAGCTGCCCTGGGTGGGTGCTTCTGGCTTTAAGGGCAGGTGGCTGGTGGGAGGGAGTGGGCACTTGTCCCCAGGGCAGGTCTGTCTCTTGGCTCTGGTGGTCCCACCCCCAGTTACGGGACCAAGTTGCTGAGGGGGTTCCCAGCGTGTGGACTTTGCTGATCCAACCCGTCCCAACTCAGCACCAAGACATCTGTAAAGGACATGGCGGCCACTGCCGGGCCGGGGCGGGCCCAGGTGATACCCAGGCCAACTGGGTCCAGGGTCATCTCGGAGGCCGCTGCCCAGCACAGCTCCTCACCGCAGGGTCATTACCCCTGGATCACCTGCTGCTCCGTCAGCAGGTTCTTCTCCAGATCCAGAGCCCTGGTCACAGGCTTCGAGGCCCGAAGAGGCCGGCCCTTCCCCCTGCAGGCCCAGATGCAGCCAAGGACCTGAGTGGGCAGGAGCAGAGCCGCACTTTGAAGAAGTCACACTGGTGAAGGCCTCAGCGTCCAATCTGTGAAAAGGGCAGAGAGCCCAGAGCTCAGGAGCCAGTCAGGGTCCTGCCAGGGGCCGGTCTCTCTCAGGAGGCAGGAGCCCGCAGGCCTGGGACCCACCAGCCCTGAACTGCATCCTGCGTCTCCCGCCCACCGTTGTCCTGGGTGCTGCGGCTGCTGCCCTCTGGTGGACAGATGGGACGAGACACCAGAGCCGGCTGGTCAGGGCGGAGAAGCTGCTCCTCCTTCCTCCTGATGGGCTGCCCAGCACTTGCCCTCTAGCCACACCTGCTCCCCGGGAGCCAGGCCTGTTCTTCCTGGCCTTGTCAACTGGGCCACGGGACCCTGTGCTGATCTCAGGACACGCCAGGGGCAGGGTCCAGCGGGTTCCAGAGTGTGCTTTGGCCTCTGTCTTTGCTCTCTTGTCTGAAAATCCCAGGAGCGTGAGAGGAAGGGGGACCCAGCATGGACCCCTCAGCCCACCCTCAGAGTCCTCCCTCCAAGCCTCACACCTGGCCTCTTACCAGGCCCTCAACAGGTGGCATGGCACTGGTGATCCCAGTGCCCAGGAGGCCGAGGCAGGAGGATTCAAGGTCATGGCCAGGCTGGACCACACAGTGAGACCCTGCCTCAAAAATTAAAAACAAAACAGAAGGGCTCCTGCTGCCACGGCCCCCCACGGCCAGCTGTCCGCTCGGCCCCAGGCTCACCTGCCCCAAGACGCTCCTGCTGCCACTGCCCCCCATGGCCAGCTGTCCGATCGGCCCCAGGCTCACCTGCACCAAGGGGCACCCCTGCCCCTCAGTCCTCTGTCCTCAGTTGCTGCCGCTGCCACTGGCCTGGACCATCAGGATTCATCAGTAAAAGCCCTTGTGTAGCAGGAGACGGAGGCTCAGAGAGCACACTGGGGACACTGCCCATCGGGGGCTGCCCAGGACACAGACCTCACCTCCCTGGTCGAATGCCACCCAGCCATGACCCACCAGGTCCCCAGGAGAAGCTGCAGGCCACCCCACACCCCTGTGCCCAGCAGTGCTGCTCTGGGGACAGCAGTCACCCCACCTGACTCCGACACCCATTGGGCCCAGGCTTTCTCTCTGGAACGTTCTGTGATGTTCCTGAAGCCCCCGCCTGACCTTGCTCTTGGCTCCCGGGCCTGGGGCTGTTAAGCTAGTGTCCCTGAAAGTGGCAGCACGTGGCAGCTGCGCGCACAAAGGGGAGGTCAAACGAGCAAAGGAACGTGGCCACCTGGCCCAACAGAGAAGTTGGAAACAGTGTTTGACCCAAGATAAAGCTGGACACTAATCAGCAGGGGCAGCACAGGAGAGCGAAGCCTGCTTCCCTTCTGGTGATTTCTAACTGCGTCAAAGTGAAGTCCTGGACCGGACAGAGGCTCTGAGAGGCCCGGCACTGAGCTTGCACAGTGTCCAGCCCCGAGGCCGGACCCGAGGCCCTGAAGGCCGTGCCCCCCGTGGGGCGGGAGCAAGACGCACCTTGCCAGCACGGCGGCTCCCGTGGGCACCGGACTGTGGTGGTGTGTGTGTGTGGGGGGGGCTCTGGACAGCCCTGGCCTCCCACAGCACCTGGCTGGACACCCTCCTCTGCCCCCTCCCACGGCACCTGGCTGGACGCCCTCCTCTGCCCCCTCCCACGGCACCTGGCTGGACGCCCTCCTCTGCCCCTCACAGGGGTTCCTTGCCTTACTGGGAAGGGAGGCAGACACAGGACAGAAAATTCCAGAACAGCCGGGTGAATGTGGAGCCTGGGCCCTTCCCAGCTCCAGGAAGACTGAGGGCCTAGAACGGCTCCCTGAGAGCAGGGGCA